ATAATTACTAGCAACCTTGCAGTCACTATGTGATTACCGTGGCTTGTGAACTATAAATAAATAAAATTTTGCTTTATTAAATAATGAATTTCGTTAAATTGTACTGTACTTTCTTAACTCTTGATGTTTTTCAAGGTATAAGCTCATCCCGATGTTACACTTATCAAGAGCTTTCATTTGAGTACCCACATGCATTTTTGATATATTTTTCATATATACATATATATATAATATATATAAATATATGAAAAAATGATGTGGGTACTCAAATGAAAGGTCTTGATGAGTGTAACATCAGGATGAGCTTATATCTCTAAAAATGTCAATAGTTCTCGAGATACAAGGTCATTTCTTAATTATGTATTATGTATTATTCTCTTAATAATATAGATGAATTTTAATTGGTAAATGAATTTTTTTTCAACCCTGGTAGGATGCAATGACAAAAGAGAGATATGAAATAAAAAACTTTTCACCATCTTTTAGTAGCAGATACAAAAAAATAAGACTAAAGTTACAAAAAATCATCATCCTCTATCATCCATGCATGAAAAAAGCATTAGAATTATGGCACCAAGAATTTAGGTGAAGAAATTTCCAATTTTATCTAAATAATAAACATAGTAATTATAATTATGATCGATATACTTTTTTATTTTATTTTTCTCAGCACCTTGAGATTAATTGACAGAGAAAAATTAGAGTCTGAGTGTAAGCCGTTCGATTTATCAACGTTCGAGCTAACATTTACAAATATGGTACAAAAAACGATAAGTGTTCTGTGCAAAGTATGGTTACCCAAACTCGTTAGTATTTTCACCGCAGTGAGTACTTAACTTAAATTAATCAATACTCATTATCGTCGGATTTGAGCCTGTACTGTACTTATATACTTTCCGTTAAATATTTTAGGGAGCGAAGAAAGGGCTTTTGCCTATCGATTATGACGAGCCTAATATAACCAGATTTTTTAGCTGTCTCGCTTACATTATGAAAAGCCAACTACGTTGTCTTTGTTTGCTATCGATGGAAGATTATATAAATTTTCTGTTGACACTTGCAGTAAGTTTACAAAATTTAACCCTTTGTACCCAATTTTTCCCCTTCCTTCTGTAATTAATATAAATGATTTATTAATAATTAAAAATTTATCCAGACCAGAGGATCGCGGAACCAATTAGCCGTGAGTAATAAATTATTTAGAAAAATTACATGTCATAAAATGATAAATTAATTTAACAAAACTATATATGTTTTGATCAATAGTTCATACCTTGCAGCTTCAATATAAATTTAGTTGTAAGAAGTAAGACAATTGGATTTGATCCCTCGTTCAAGGCTTTTACTGACACATTACTTTTTTTATTGACCTCGCTATACAAAGCCGTCTGTGGGTACCCTTGTATTGAAAGGAAACTCTACAGCAGCTATATTTCATCTAAAAAGTCATTAAAAGTAACAATTTCAATGATCATCAAATTATAATTAAAGAAATAATTGGATTAAGGTTTTATATCGCATTTTTTCACAGCCAACAATACATTCCGAAATCCTCGAGCGTTACGAGCATCAAATAGTAGAATTAATCCAAGAGCATCGCATCGGCCCGGAACTCCAAGTTCAACAGTTCGACAAATATATTTCTCTTATAAATAACACAGACGAGGAGTTTGTAAAAAACTTTCTGAATGCCGAAGTACCGAAAAGTTTCACCGAATATGCGGAATTGATAGAGAAGTACGACCAACTTGGAAAGAATATTCCGATTGAATTTGACCGGACATTTTCCCTGGGATTATTTGATGTCCATCGCGATGAGTTGATGGAATATATGGCCAAGTCCGCGACTATTTTGAAGAATAGTTTGATCCATCGGATGATTGATGACTATCAATTAAAATCAAGAGTGTCGGTAGTGGTTTTTATAATTTATTATTCTAATAAGAGGTGTGCGAGGGTTTAAATTTGATTAAATTTAATAGAATCGGTGAAGACTATGAAAGCATTGCGGAAAAAGCGCTAGGTACACCGGCAACAACCAGAGAGCTAATGGATTTGAAAGCCTTCGTGGTAAAAGCTGAAACTGAAATGATTATCGACTTGGAAAATCGCTTGAGGGAAATAATTAAATACGTGCAATTTCTGTCTGATTACACACTTTTGACACCCGTTGAACTGAAAACCAATAATTTTGCATTTCAATGGTAAGGTTCGGGTTTAAATTGTTTGGTTGCTTACAAAAAGTCATTTTTTATTATTACTACCTCACTTTTGAAGGTATCACAAAATGCAAGGGATTTTTGAGGAGCATAGAAAAATAGTGGAAGCCAAAACTGGAGAGTATCAGGAAGCATTGCTAGCGAGAATCGAAAAGTTCAAACAGGATTTAAAGATTTGGGAAAAGTATTGTGATGAAATGCAGTACTGGGGAAACGTCGACGAGATATTTCGGTATCGAAAAAAAGCGACTAATTTAGAAAACCGTCTTGTGGGGGCTATGAATACTATTGACGAGTTTAATGAGGAAGAAAAGATGTATGGTTGGCAGATGTCTGAGTATCCGCTACGAAAAAAGGTTTTTCTAAATTTTATCGAGTTTTTATTTATAATATCAATCAACTCAATGATTAATGACCTACTTTACCACCTTAATCCTTAAAGAATGTCATTTTTTTATAATGTTACAACAATATCCATTTTTTTGGATCAAACTTGTTGAATTAATTAAAAAACTACAATCAAAATAAAAATACATCATTTATTAAAACTGTTAATTTCAATATTAACATCTTTTTTATAAGATTGCTTTACAAATTTTATTCAACAGATAGCTGACAAATTATCTCCTTACAAAAAATTTTATGACATCGCCTGTGACTTCATTTCTCAACACGAATTGTGGATGGGATCAATGATCGGCAGCCACGACCCCGAGACAATTGAAAACGATTCTGGCACTGCTTACCGCAGTATAATGAAATTAGAAAAATCATTCCAAGAAATGACAGTTCGTAAGCTCGCTGAAGTGGTTAGAGTGAAAATAGAAGAGTTCCGTGAGCATATGCCGCTTATATCAAATTTGGGAAATCCGGGCATGAAAAGCCGCCACTGGACACAAGTTTCTGAAATCGTTGGATTTCCGATAAAAGTTGACGAAAATATGACTTTGGCGAGAGTAAGTTTAAAAATTGTCCATGATTATACAGAGCAAAAACTCAGTGCGTTGTTTTAACACACATAAAGTGTCTTCCATATTTAACGCCGTAAACAAACTGTAATTTTTTGTAGTCACTTTTTACACGTTTTATGGTGTGTTAAAATTCTATAGTTTGCTTATGCCGTCAAAGCATAGTACACATTTGATGTACCTATGTTAAAATAATACACTTGATTTTGGAGTGGTTTTGCAGTGTAATGATCCATAAATGAATATTTTATTTCACTTGAAGATCATCGACTTTGGCTTGGACGAATACGTGCCTAAATTTGAAGGAATATCAGAAGCAGCGACCAAAGAAAGCAATCTAGAAAAAGCATTGTTAAAAATGCATGCCGACTGGACTAGTGTTGAATTCACAGTGAATCCCTACAGAGATACTGGTACATATGTTATTGCCAGTGTTGATGAAATACAGCTACAACTGGACGATCATTTGACGAAAGCTCAAACCATGAAGAATTCACTTTATATTAAACCATTTGAAAAAGAGACCTTGTTAGTAATAATAAACAAATTCAAGTACAAAATTTTCTAATCCAAATTTATATTTGAACTTTGTTATTTTTTAAGGGAGTGGGAAGCCAAATTATACTTATTGCAAGATATAATGGATTACTGGCTGAAAGTTCAAGCAACTTGGATGTACCTAGAGCCAATATTTTCCTCTCCGGACATTCAACAGCAAATGCCTGAAGAAGGTCGACGTTTTAGTGCCGTTGATAAAGTAAAAACTAATTTTTTTTTAAGTTATTTAATTTTTATGATAATATTTTATCGATTTAATAGATTTGGAGGGATATCATGAACTCGGTAATGCAAGATCCAAAAGTAATGTCAGTTGTGGAAATCGACAAAATGTTAGATCGCTTGAAAAAATGCACGGGGCTACTAGACTTGATCCAAAAAGGTCTAAATGATTATTTGGAAAAGAAGCGCTTGTTTTTTCCACGGTTTTTCTTTTTGTCTAATGATGAGCTGCTGGAAATTTTATCCGAGACCAAAGACCCAACGCGGTGAGAAAAATTAGACATTCAAAATAAATTGAGTCTAATTTTAAGACCAAAAAAAGAAATTTTTACTTGGTTTAAATAAATTTTACTTAATTCAAGACAATTAGCCTCTTCAAAACTATTTTCTTGATTCAAAAATTTTCAAGTTAATTTTTTTTTTCAGTAAAATTTTATTTGAAAAAGAAAATTAATCGATCGTATTATTTGTTAATAGATAAATTGACTTCTAAACTTTTATTATCTTTACTTCATTTTTACAAAATAAAATAACGATATTTTTTCTGTACTACATAAAAGCTCATAAGCTCCAACGGGATATAAAAAACTAATTTATATTTCCGCTCAATAAATTTTTATGACTGTTCGATACCCTAGAAAAAACCGATAATAAAGTAAGAGGTGTAAATAATTTATTTATAGAGTCCAGCCACATCTGAAAAAATGTTTCGAGGGAATAGCCAAACTTGCTTTCACAGAGTCTATGGAAATAACAACAATGGAATCATCCGAAGGCGAAGTTATTGTCCTGGAGGATAAAATAGATACCACGAGCACGCGCGGACAAGTTGAAAAGTGGCTTGTCGAGCTTGAGAATGATATGAAGAAAAGCGTCCGAGCCCAAGTAAAAATTTTCTTTCCATTTATTCTATTTATTGAACTAATTAAATCAATAAAATGAAACTATAAATGATATTACTTTCGATGAAGGATTGAATAATATTTGATTAATATTAAAAAGTCTAAAAAATTCAATAGGTCAACAATGCCCGAGAAGCGTACTTGACAAAAGAGAGAAGTAAGTGGGTCCTCGAGTGGCCAGGACAAACAATTCTTTGCATCGGGCAGCTTTATTGGACTGCAAATGTTACTGCAGCTTTTCCCCAAGGTCTCGATGCACTGAAAGCTTATATCGACACTTGTAATGAAGAACTCAATCACATCGTCGAGCTTGTTCGCGGTGACTTATCCAAACAAAACCGAACGACACTTGGTGAGTTGAGTCTATTTGAGGAACCAAAGAATAAAAATATAATTACCATGCTAAAAATACAAAATTATTTTTAGAGGCTCTTATTACATTGGACGTCCACGCAAGAGATGTTTTGGTTGAACTCTGGGAAAAAAAAGTCACCAAAGACACGGATTTCAAATGGCTTTGCCAACTTCGCTACTACTGGATGGTAATTTCCCTAATTAAAAAAAAAAATTTAAAACGATTCAACCCATGCAAAATGTATAGATATATATTTGTCAAGTTGAATCATTTTTAATCGCTTTGAGCCATTTAAATCTTTTTTTTTAATAAGGGTTGTTGGAAAAATTGTCAAGTTAAAATCATTTGACTGAAAATTATTTGCAGGAGGAAAATTTAGTTACTATGATGATTAATTCATCGCTGAACTACGGGTATGAATATCTTGGGAATACATCCCGTCTTGTTATCACACCCTTGACTGACAGGTGTTACCGAACGTTATTTGGAGCTCTGGCGCTACATTTAGGCGGTGCGCCTGAAGGTCCTGCGGGAACTGGAAAAACAGAGACGACTAAGGATTTAGCAAAAGCTATTGCTAAACAATGTGTTGTTTTCAATTGTTCGGATGGTTTGGATTATATTGCTCTTGGAAAATTTTTTAAGGTTAAACATTTTCTTCATTTTTAATTATTTTAACTAAAATATTCAAGAAAACCAGCAAGAATAATTGATTAAATTTTAAAACTTCAATAATGATTAATAATTATTAATTTTAATGTATCGCTTATTTTTGGTACAGAAATTTGAGTTTAAATTCCAATATTTAGAAAACTTGATTAATGTTTACGAAATGCTACACAGTAAAAAATTTTACGTCAAAAAATTTTGATGTTAAATATTTAATACTTTTTTGTGTTGATTTAACAGAATAAATGTTAAATTTACACATAAAAGTGTTAAATATTTAATACAAAAATTTTTAACACTAAATTTTTTGACGCAAAATTTTTTTCTGTGTAAAAGAATAAAAACAATTTTTGTTTGTTAGATATTCGCGCACGTTATTGATGAGTTTAATAGTTTGACAGTAATGTTTCTTCCATTAGCTTAATTAATAATAATAAAAATGATTGAACTAAAGGGTTTAGCGGCATCTGGTGCTTGGTCATGTTTCGACGAGTTTAATCGGATTGATCTGGAAGTTCTGTCGGTAGTAGCTCAACAAATTTTAACAATTCAACGAGCTATTAATTCTGATAAATCAATACTTGTATTCGAAGGCACTGAATTGAAATTGGATCCAACTTGTGCTATTTTTATAACGATGAATCCTGGATACGCCGGGCGGTCTGAGCTCCCGGATAATTTGAAAGCTCTTTTCCGTTCAGTTGCTATGATGGTAATTATTATTATTATTATTATTATTATTATTATTATTATTATTATTACTATTACTATTACACCAAAAACTTTATTAACAAAATCGTATAAATTCTCAAGAGGGAAATCGATCCAACTTGAAGTAATACTTCTGATTAGCGATAATTTCAAAGGAACTAATATCGAGGCTCCTCGGCAATTAAAATGAAACTTCTTGCTTCTGAGCTTAAGAGCTTGTTATAAAATTTAACTTTACTTGAGAAAATTGAAACTTTGGCAATTTCGATAAAGTTATTGCTTCTTCAAAACATAATATATCAAAGTTCAGTAATTGGATCTTTTTTGTTCTTAAAAATTATTAATTGAAATTTAAAATGGAAATTTTCAGGTACCAGATTATGGATTAATTGCAGAAAACACCCTTTACTCGTATGGATTTTACAAAGCGAGACAACTGTCAATAAAAATAGTAATGGCCTATCAATTATGCTCAGAGCAACTGTCAAGTCAAAGTCACTACGATTACGGAATGAGAGCCGTAAAGTCCGTATTAATCGCAGCTGGTAATCTTAAATTAAAATATCCGAATGAAGATGAAGATATTTTGATGCTGCGCAGTATTAAAGACGTCAATCTTCCGAAATTTTTGAATCATGATCTTCCTTTGTTTAATGTTCGTACAATTTGATGTTCATTTTATACAAAAATATAATTGAACTCAGTTGTAATTTTTTTTTGGAATTAATTTTGAAGTCTGCTAATTTTTTAATCAAATTTTTTAGGCGATCGCATCAGATTTGTTTCCAAATATAGTTCTACCAAAATCAGACTACACAGAATTGGACGAGTGCATCACAGAAGCCTGCGATCGACTAAACATACAATGCGTTCCACTGTTTTTAGAAAAAATTCATCAAATTTACGAGATGATGATTGTCAGACACGGATTTATGATTGTTGGTTTGCCTTTCAGTGGAAAAACTACCGCCTATAAAGTATTAGCTTTGGCTCTTGAATTTTGCGAACAAAAAGTAAACAATTTAATTTCTTTTAGAGATAGTAATTTAAGTCGATAGACATTGATCAATTTACATGAGTAATAACAAAATTAAATGTTTTTAGAGTGTACTAAATGAACACAGAGTCGAGGTATCAATAATTAATCCCAAATCGATAACCATGGGTGAATTGTATGGTCAATTTGACCCAGTATCTCATGAATGGAGTGACGGAATTCTGGCGATTAATTATCGAATATTCGCGACATCCTCCAATGATAATCGCAAGTGGCTTGTGTTTGATGGACCTGTTGATGCGGTGTGGATTGAGAACATGAACACTGTGTTGGACGATAACAAGAAGCTCTGTCTTATGAGTGGCGAAATAATACAATTGTCACCGACCACCAATTTGATATTTGAACCGATGGATCTTGAAGCTGCTTCGCCCGCTACTGTATCAAGATGTGGAATGATTTATATGGAGCCACTTGCTCTTGGCTGGGAGCCTCTATTGAAGTCGTGGATTGCCACAGTGCCGGAAAAGCTTGGAGATTATTTGAAGCAGTTTTTGTACGAGTCACTGTTTGTGAGGTTTTGCAATCCGCTGTTTCATTTGATAAGGCGTGGAGGATTTAAGGTAGTGCTTGAGGGTCTGCCTGTGTCTGACAAAAAATACAGCAATAAAATTTACAGCAATATTTGTTTTGATGAATTGCAGATAATGTGCACAGAATCGAATATTCTGAGGTCAATCACTTACTTAATGGACTGTTTCATAGATGATTATCGTATTGAGGTAGATGAAAAAGAAAGCGGAACACCTAGTGTTAAGCTCAGTGAACTAGATCTTAGAGCTCAAGTTGAAGTAAGTATTTTTTTATATATTTTGTCTGGATATTGTCTAATAAGTTCTACAATTAAGATTTTGATTTTTTAAAACTGTACAATAAAATTCATAAACATAGATAATAAAATTTTGCTTTATTAAATAATGACTTTTGTTAAATTGCACTGTACGTTCTTAAATAATGACATTTTTGAAGATATAAGCTCATCCCGATGTTACACTTATCAAGAGCTTTTATTTGAGTACCCACATGCATTTTTGGTATATTTTTCAAATATACATATATATAACATATATTTTAAAGATATAAGCTCATCCTGATGTTACACTCATCAAGAGCTTTCATTTGAGTACCCACATGCATTTTTGATATATTTTTCATATATACATATATATATATATAAATATATAAAATATATGATAAATTGATGTGGGTACTCAAATGAAAGGTCTCGATGAGTGTAACATCAGGATGAGCTTATATCTTTAAAAATGTCAATATATCACAAGATACAAGGTCATTTCTTAATTATGTATCTAGAGATAGAGCATTTTCAATTAGTCGCTCTTACATTGATCTCTAAAAAATTAATGCCAAATTTAAAATAAAAAAAATTTCACTTTTTATCAAATAACTACTTTCTATAAAACAGTAACTTAATTTTTTTTTATGCAGGGTTCATTTTTCTTCTCATGTATTTGGGCAATGGGTGGTACACTAGAGTCAAAAGGTCGAGAGCAATTTAGTCTTCTCTTCCGCGGACTACTCGAAAAAGAATTCCCCATAAATCTCCAAGAACTGTTCAACCTTGATAAAATTTCCCCTCCGACAAAACCCTACATCTTCATAATGCCAAAAGACGGACTGGTCTTTGACTACAGATTTATAAAAGAGGTATTCATGAAATTTCGCCTTTAAAAATAACCCCAGTAACTAATTAAAACTTTTTAAATGCTACAATGCATCCAATTCCGCAATAATTACTCAAGTTGCCTCTAAAGCTTGAAACTCAAACTTCTCCTTGATAAAATTAATCAAACAATAAAAGTAATGAGTCAAATTCAATCCAGGGTAAAGGAAAATGGAAACTTTGGTCCGACGAGTTGTTGAATGCAGCTCCCATACCTAGAGACATTCCAGTGAATCAAATAATTGTCCCGACCGTCGAGACAATTAGATACACAACTCTGTTCCAATTGTTAGTCCAGCATTCCAAGCCGGTTTTATTCATCGGACCCACTGGAACTGGAAAATCTGTGTATATTACAGACTTTCTGCTAAAGAAAAACGACACCAACATATTCAAGCCACTTTTGATAAACTTTTCCGCTCAAACATCTGCTAACCAAGTGCAGGAGATAATAATGAGCAAACTAGATAAGCGACGGAAAGGTGTCTATGGCCCACCAATTGGCAAACGGTGGGTCGTCTTTGTTGATGATGTTTCAATGCCGTTGACAGAAGTTTATGGGGCTCAGCCGCCTATTGAATTGCTACGGCAACTTTTGGATCATTCGCAATGGTAATTTTTGTTCTAATTGATTGAATATCAATGTAGATAAACATACACTAATAAAAAAATTTATTTGATTCAAGAGAAAAAATCTTGAACCGAGAAAATCATTTAAAAAATTTTATTGTCATGAATTAAGACAAAAAATTCTTGAATCAAGAAAAATTTCTCAGTTTAAGAATGTTTTTACTCAAGACAATTGTACAAAAGTAGTAATTAATCGAAGTAATTATGAAAATATCCATTTTTAAGCCCATGGCGGTTTTTTAAAAAATTTACAATTTTTGATGAAAACTTTAGGCTTAATTGTCTTAAAAAATATGAAATATTTATTAGAATTATTAATCGTTTAAACAATTAATTAAAAATGCATTTAATAAAATTGTACAAAAATTTGAAGCTGATTGATTCAGCCATTTTTGAGAAATCTTGCTCACTGACTTTGAAAAGATTCTTTTGAGAAAAAAGCATTCACAGTTGTTCAAAAATTTTAAAGCTCCGCGGCGTCTTTACAAATATTCGGATAACTTTTAAAGTACTTGTAAATTTTTTTTTGTATTTATAGATATTTTTTTATTTAAATATCTTTTGTATTTAAGTATACTTAAATACATGTGTCACAAAAATAAAATAACAAAAAATTTACTTTTAAAAAATTCTTAAATGGGTACAATTCTTAAACAAAATCATTATAGGTATGATAAAAAAGAAAAAACTGCGATAAAATTAATTGAAGTGCAATTGATCTGTGCAATGGGAACTCCAGAGAATGGAGGGAGGGATGTCACACCAAGATTCAAAAGACACTTTTTTACCCTATCAATATCTGAGTTTGAAAACCAAGTAATGATCTCGATATTTAGCAAAATAATCCTTTGGCATCTAGATACAAGGTACATCTTAAAAAAGCATTAGGTTAATAAATAATAATTAATATAAAAACTTTTTTAGAGGGTTTAGTAAAGAATTTGATCCATGCATCAATCAAGTTGTTCTCGCGACTCTCGATGTTTATCAAGAAAGCCTAAAAAATTTGCTACCGACTCCATCAAAGTCGCATTATCTCTTTAATTTACGCGACTTTTCACGAGTTATTCAAGTAATTTTTCTATTTTCTCTCAAGATTAATAAATGATTTATTTAAAAATTTTGATCGCAGGGCGTTCTACTGTCAGTGCCAGAGTCAATGCCAACTTTGTCTTGTATGAAGAGACTGTGGGTCCATGAAATCCTACGAGTGTTTGGCGATCGATTGATTGATGAACAAGACACCACTTGGCTAATTAAACAGCTTCGTTCCACTGTTGAGAGACACATGGAAGCGAGCTTTGATGCTCTTTTTGAGGATTTAGCAGAAAACTCAAACGATATTGTAATTTTACAATATATATTTTTAGAATAGTTAATTAAGTTGATAAAAATTAATGAAATAAGTGATTTATTTTGTAGATTGGTGAAAAAGAGTTGAGAAAATTAATTTACTGTGACTTTATCGATCCGAAAGCGGATGTAAGGCTGTACAGAGAAATTCAAGATTTAGAATTGCTTAAATCTATTGTTGAGGGTTATTTGATAGAATATAATTCGATGACGAAGAAACCTATGAATTTAGTGCTTTTCAGGTAATTTTAAAAATCATTATCAATAAAACTCTCTAATTTAATTTTAAACACAAAAAAGTATAACTTTTATAAGCGATTGAACTAAAAAATAGATTCGCAATAGAACATATTTCAAAAATGGCTCGAATAATAAAGCAACCTCGAAGCCATGCTCTCATTGTTGGAGTAGGCGGCTCAGGAAGACAATCCTTGACACGACTGGCATCTCACATTTGCGGATATGAATTGTCTCAAGTAGAACTTACTAAAAACTACGGTCTCCATGAATGGCACGAAGATCTGAAAAAAATTCTGAAAAAAGCCACTGCTGGAGAATTGAGCTCTACTTTTTTGTTCGCTGACAGTCAAATTAAAAATGAAGGATTTCTTGAAGACATCAGTAACATGTTAAATTCTGGAGAGGTTTAAATTTTTGCTTTTTTCTTGATTACACACTTTTTATGATGTACCAATATAACAATAAGTGCTAGAATATTTTTTTCATTTGAAAACAGGTTCCAAACTTATTTAATAACGAAGAAAAAGCAGAAATTTGCGAGAAAATGCGAATGATTGACCGACAACGGGAACGTGCAATGCAAACAGACGGGAGCCTGGTGGCTTTATTCAATTTATTCGTACAAATAGCTAGAGATCAATTGCATATCGTCGTCGCAATGTCGCCTATTGGAGATGGATTCCGTAATAGAATACGAACTTTTCCAGCTCTCGTAAATTGCTGCACTATCGATTGGCTCCAGGTCTTTCATTAAAAGTTCTTTACTAAAATATTCAATTTCTAAACTTGTTTTAACTTTTAACATTTATGAATATTGATGTTAAATTTTATCAATTGCAAAACAGACATGGCCGGAGGACGCATTGTTGGCAGTAGCGACGCGATTTTTAAGCGAAGTTAAATTAACAGACCACGAGCGCAATGGAGGAATTGAAATGTGTCAATTTTTCCACATTTCTACTCAACTTTTGACAGATGAATTTTACATTAGATTACAGAGATACAATTATGTCACTCCAACATCGTATTTGGAGATGATAAATACGTTCAAAGAGCTGCTGAATAATAAACGAAAGTAATTTTTTTATTTTTTTCTCTTTTCCGTACTCATAAAAAATCCTACCATTACTTTTTATTGTAAAGAATTGGTTTTGCATATTTAAAAAAAAATACAAATCCATTTAAAACATTTTCAATTACAGAGAAATAACTCTAGCTAAAAATCGGTACGAGGGTGGAATTGGCCGGTTGGTTTCAACACGTACTCAAGTTGCAGAAATGCAAGAAACGCTTAAAGAGTTGCAGCCGATGTTGGTGACAGCTGCACAAGAGGTGCAGAAAATAGTTGCTACTGTCGAGAAGGAAAGCTTGGAAGTTGCTGAAGTTGAGAAAGTTGTTAAAGTTGACGAAGAAGCTGCTCTGGTAAGTATTTCATTTATTTGTTCGTTGGTAAATCATTTTTAATAATTCATGAAGAAGTGCAATAGTTAATATTGACTGGTTCTTTAAAAATAGAAAGTAGCGGCTGCTGCTGAAGAAATAAAGACAGAGTGCGATGATGATTTATCAGCAGCTATGCCGATATTAAATGAGGCACAGTCCGCTCTGAATACATTAACGTCTACTGATATCGCCGTAGTAAGATCTATGAAAAATCCCCCGGCTAATGTCAAACTCGTTATGGAAAGTATTTGTATTCTAAAAGTAAGTACAGTAAATATTCAAAAATATCAAATAGACTGAGAGAACGATTTGTTTTTAAATTATTCAATTAAAAGGAAATAAAACCCGACAAAGCGCAATCAGCCGACGGGAAATCTTACGACGACTATTGGAAAGCATCATTGAAAATTCTAGCGGACGTAAAATTTTTAGACTCGCTTGTACACTTTGACAAGGACAACATTTCCAATCACGTTGTCGATAAAATACGCCGCGAGTATCTGACAAATCCAAACTTTGACCCCGAGAAAGTTAAAGTTTCATCGACCGCTTGCGAGGGCTTGTGTAAGTGGGTCTTTGCAATGTCTGAGTACGACAAAGTTGCTAAAGCTGTTGCTCCTAAGAAGAAAGCTTTGGCTGAGGCTCAAGAAGTTTACAATGATGCGATGGATAAATTGTCCGCTAAGCGGGCTCAATTGCGCGAGGTTCAGGTAAATAAAACTGACGCTGTTATAACTTTCAAAAGTCGAGTTGCCAAGATTGTTTTTGTTAATCGGAAATCAATAAATTTTAGGGTAAACTAGGAGCTTTGGAAGCTGACTTGGCCTCCCGGAAATCTGAGTATCAAAAAATGATTGACAAAGTTACTGATTGTGAGCAGAAACTTAAGCGTGCGGAAGAACTTATTGGGGGGCTGGGTGGCGAGTCTACTAGATGGTCTCAATGCGCCAAAGAATTGGGGGAAAAGTTAGTAAATTCTAAAAACTATTTAAAACTTCTTATTCATTGATCCTTTAGCTAAAAAAATTTTATCATAGAAAAAATGCAAGAGCTAGCAGTTTTCTTTTGAAATTCAATCATTTTTTCATTAAAAAAATAAATATAAAAATAGTGAATTGAAATATTTTGTTGACTTTTTTCTTTAAAATTGTACATCATTTTATTCTAGACACGTCAATTTTCCAGCGTTTCAGTATTCTCTGTTTACTTTCCTAGTTTCCTGTTATATTATCTCTCGTCCCTTGTTTGCAGTAAAATTCGCTATAAATTTCACGACACACTTCAGTATATAAACGTGTTTATTTTCTTTATGCAAAAACAATTTGTGTTTTTTTAATTTACATATAAAGTTGTTTTTGTTCCTTTAATTTAAAAAAAAATCCTTTATTTTTTACTTTTTGCACTAAAAATTTTAATTCAAATTTAAAGTATAAAGCTTAAACTTCAGTTAAATTAATTATAAACAAATTTTTTTTAAAGGTATGACAGTTTGACGGGTGACATAATAATCGCAGCGGGTGTAATCGCTTATTTAGGAGTTTTTACAACGTATTACCGCAACAAACAAATAAAATCCTGGGTTGTTAAGTGCAAAAGTCTTAATATTGTCTGCACGGAAGACTTTTCCCTAAAAGATGTTCTTGGTGATCCGGTACAAATAAGGTCATGGAGCATCGCTGAGCTGCCCAATGATTCTTTTTCCATCGAAAATGGAATAATTATTAAGTGATTAAACGAATTTATTTATTTCATTTATTTTTTTCTTAATTATTCAATTTTTAAGTGCCACAATTGCTTCAGAAGCGCAAGAAGATGGCCGCTGATGATTGACCCACAGAACCAAGCAAACAAGTGGATCAAAAATATGGAAAAGCCTAACAACATGAGCATAATTCGACTTACTCAACCGGATTATTCACGAGTTTTAGAAAACGGGATTCAGTTTGGTCAGCCGATTTTGTTGGAAAATGTCGGAGAAGAATTGGACGCAATGCTAGAGCCTGTGTTGCTCAAACAAACTTTTAAACAAGGTGGCGCTTTGTGTATAAAATTGGGAGACTCTGTTGTTGAGTACAATACCAATTTTAGGTATAAAAATAATTAATAATAAAATTAATTACATAAATAACTCATTAAACATCAAAATTGAATACTGAATAATTTTATTTTGAACATTGCAGACTTTTTATCACTACCAAATTGAGCAATCCACATTATTTACCGGAAATAGCTGTTAAAGTGACTTTGATAAACTTTGTTATAACCACAAGTGGTCTTGAAGATCAATTGCTTGGTATTGTTGTGGCTAAAGAACGCCCGGACTTGGAATCGGAAAGAAATTCATTAATTATTCAAGGAGCTGCTAATAAGAAGTAATTTATTTTGTTTATAATTTTGAAAAAATTATTTTAGAATTTTAAAGGATGCTCCAAAAAAAAATATTTTTTTACAACCTCAAGATTTTTATTATAGAATTCTATTAATTTTTTTATCAATATAAATTCTCCAATAAATTTAATTCTAGGATAAATTTTGTTTCAATTTAAAGAGTGGTTACCTTAATTTAATATTCGCGATGATATTTACACACGAAAACTTTCTTAAATTGAAAAAAGTCGGTCTTTAAACTAAAAAAAAAAAAAACGTACCAACACGGTAACTTTCTTCATTTAAGTTATTCTTTTATCCGATCTCGACAATTTAAAAAGTATTAAGAATTATGAAAATTTAAAAAGTTAATTTAATGTAAATTATTGAAATTTCAAATCTTTCTTCTACTTTCTAACTATTTTCTTATCGAATTGCAACAGATTGCTAAAAGAAACAGAAGATAAAATATTAGAAATCCTATCAGTCGCCGAAGGTAATATCTTAGACGATGAAGACGGTGTGACAGTTTTGACTTCATCAAAAGTACTCAGCAATGACATTCAAGCAAAGCAAGCAGCTGCCGAAGTAACTGAAAAATCTATAAACTCAACGAGGCTCCAGTATACGTCGATAGCTGAATATTCAACGATATTATTTTTCACGATAGGTGAAACAAAATTATTATTGTCATTACATCATTAAATTTATACCATTAATTACGTTTTATGACAGCGGTTCTAGCAAAAATCGACCCGATGTACCAGTACTCGTTAGCGTGGTTCGTTAATTTGTTCAAAATGTCAATCGATATTACCGGGCAGTCAGAGAGCCTGGAGGTGCATTTAAAAGAATTGACCAAAAATTTCACTCGTTCTCTTTACATTAATATATGTAGATCGCTTTTTGAGAAAGATAAGCTGCTGTTTTCATTGCTGCTATCAGTGCAGCTTATGGATAAATTAAAATCTCATATACCACCGGCTCAATGGATATTTTTACTCACTGGAGGAGTGGGTCTTGACAATCCTTTTCCGAACCCGTGCTCTTGGCTCCCGGCCAAACTGTGGGATGAATTGTGTCGGTTGGATGACGTACCCGGGTTCAAGGTAATTTTGTAAATATTTTTAACCATAACAATCCTTTTTCTTTCATTTTTAACATAATTTTAAAGGAATTTCAATATCAGTGATTAGTAGTTATAATAGTTTGTAACTCGTTATTTATTTTTTTATTGATTAATTGTAGAAAAGGTGAATCTATTAGTGTTGCTTCAAAAGAGGGCAATGAGTTCTTTCCTAGCGTGCATTCGCTTAATAACGAAACACTGCAGTTGACACAATCGTACACTAGCAATCTTTGACCTTTTATTGATTTAATATTTACCGCAATCATTTACATTTTTACATCCACGTGTTTTATCTTCAAGTTTCGTGCAATTATTTATTATTAATTATAAATAGCAATTGCTAGATCTATAAATACTTCCTACTCTATAAAATCGATACCTTGTCTAATTAATTAACGCAGAAACTTCAATTAATTATCTAATACAAAATGACCTAGTTTGCTTAGTTATAAAATTTTTATTGAATAAAAATTAACTGACTAAAAAATTATATTTTTTTGTTAATAAAAGACCCAGTTATAATTTATTAGAGTTAATTTGTTTTTTTTTTTAATTAAAATAAAATTGCATGTGTCAATAACTAGGCCAGTGTCAACAACTGGGTCTTTTACCTTAATAAAAAAAAATTGATTCGATTAAAAATAAGTTTTGTACCAAAAAAATAATTTTTAAGAATTAAGAAATTTTTCTGCTTATTTTAAGACTTTTAAAATTTTTTATTTTGAATCAAATTTATTTTTTCGTTAACGTATTAGTTTTTAACTAATAAATATTTAAGATACTAATGAAGTCGTCATCATAAACTTAAAAATAAAAGCCAAATTTATTATTAAAAAAACTACTAATTAAATTTTTGGTTTTAAGGGTATCAAAGCATCATTTGAAACTGAGAATATATTTTGGAAAAATTTATTTGACTCAAAAGAACCACATATAGAAGCACTACCGCCGCCATTTGATAAATTTACCAACTTTCAAAGACTTTTGATACTGAGATGTCTGCGGCCAGACAAAATAATATCTGGCGTGCAGAATTTTGTCCAATGTAAGTTTCTCAATTACTCAAAAAAAAAACTAATTTTTCTATATAAAAATAATTTAATACATAAAATTATTCTTAAAGTTGAATTAGGACAAGAATTCGTAGACCCGCCACCGTTTGATCTGTTGTCTTCATTCCACGACTCTAATTGCACGATACCGTTGATATTTATTCTAACACCTGGAACGGATCCAGCGCAAATTCTGCTTAAATTTTCCGACAGCCAGGGCTTTGGAACCAGCAGACTTTTCTCGCTGTCTTTAGGCCAAGGTTTCAATTTAAATCTTATAATTTTTAATCTTATAATTTATTTTTTGCTAACAGAAACTTTTGTTCCTTCCAGGCCAAGGATTAATAGCAGAGCAATTAATAAACGACGGCGTTAAGTACGGGCACTGGATTGTCCTCCAGAATTGCCACTTGGCAAAAAGCTGGATGGGGACTCTGGAAAAAATATGCGAGGGACTGTATCCCGATTCAATACACCCGGACTTCCGGCTGTGGTTGACGAGCTATCCAGTTAATTACTTTCCCGTGACGGTGCTTCAAAACAGCGTTAAAATAACCAACGAACCGCCAAAAGGCTTGCGGGCTAATATACTACGCTCTTATTTGAGTGACCCTATAAGCGACCCGGAGTTTTTTGACTCTTGCACTCAGCCAGTGGTTTTCAAAAAATTGCTGTACAGCCTTTGCTTCTTCCATGCGATCGTTCAAGAACGACGTAAATTTGGACCTATCGGCTGGAATACTGCCTATGAATTCAACGAAACAGATCTGCGAATCAGTGTTCAACAATTGCACATTTTTTTGAATCAGTACGATGATGTTCAGTTTGAAGCGCTCAAATATTTGACCGGGGAATGTAATTACGGCGGAAGAGTTACCGATGTTTGGGATCGCAGGACTTTAAATACTATTTTGTCCAAGTATTATTGCGAGTGAGTATTAATTTTTTTAACAAAAAATTATTTCAAAAATTTTACTTTTACACTGTGTGGCTACCATGACTTGTGAAATATAAATAAATAAAATTTTGCGTTATTAAATAATGATTTTTGTTAAAATTCACTGTACTTTCTTAACTCTTGACATTTTTAAAGATATAAGCTCGTCCCGATGTCATACTCATCAAGAGCTTTCATTTGAGTACCCACATGCATTTTTTATATATTTTTCATTTATACATATATATATATAATATATATAAATATATAAAATATATGAAAATTGATGTGGGTACTCAAATGAAAGGTCTTGATAAGTGTAACATCGGGATGAGCTTATATCTTTAAAAATGTCAATAGTTCACAAGATACAAAGTCATATCTTAATTATTGATATTTTTAAAGATCTAATATAGATTTAAGGATGAACCAATGAAAGTTTTTAATTTCATTTTTTAAATTTGAATGTTCTTATAAATTTCTAATTAAAAATTTAAATCATTAAAATTCCACTCTCAAATTCTCATTTTTTACAGAAAAATAATAACAGAAGATAAATATTATTTCGACAATACAACTGAAATTTATTGCTGTCCTAATGCCAAAGAATACAACGTGTATCTGGAGTACACAAAACAATTGCCGTTAATAACATCTCCAAGCGTATTTGGTATGAACAACAACGCTGATATAATCAAAGATCAACAAGAGACTGATTTATTATTTTCATCATTGTTATTAACCGAGGTAATTATTAGTCCAAATATTTTCATCGATTATTCACAATAGCAAACTTGTTATTAATAATCATAATCAATAAGCAAACAATAATTATTTCCACGCAATCAATTTTATTTTAATTAATAAAATTATAAGGATCGATGGGTAAGACGAAAAAGGATATTTTTTTTTTTACAATTAATATTTTTATACCGATTAATATTGATTTAATGATTTTTGCAACAAGGATTTGTGGGAACGTAAAGTAAGTTTTAATTATAAATGCCGAGATATTTTATTTTAATAATAATAAAAGTGTGAAATTTTGTTTTATTGGATCATTAATAAATAATTATCGCGAAAAATAACATTTTATTTTTCTATTTTCAGGAAACAGCAAAATCAACGGGAACAAACGAAGCGACTTCTGACGAAATGATAATATCAGTAGCTACGGATATTTTAAGCAAATTACCAGCCGGCTTTAACTTAGACAAAGCACTTGAGAAGTACCCGACGTCATACAACCAAAGTATGAATACAGTTTTAGTACAGGAGATGGATAGATTCAATAAATTGCTCAATTGTATTCGAACTAGTCTTGTTAACGTGAAACGCGCTGTAAAAGGTTTTTATTTTTTATCGCCATCAACATTAATGGTTCAAAAGTATGTACTAAAGTCGAAAATTTAATGCTGGTATATTTTTACAGGATTTATTGTTATGTCTCTTGAACTAGAAGAGGTAGCAGATGCAATTTTAAAAGGAAAATTATCTTCGCTTTGGAAAAGACACTCTTATCCTTCGCTCAAACCTTTGGGGAGTTATATTAATGATTTTATACTACGATTAAAGTTTCTGCAGGTTATTTTATAATTTAATAAAAAATAAATCGAATAAAAAAATTAAATTAAAAATTTTTAATATAATTTTAATATATCACTTTGGATAATTAGGATTGGTATGAGTCAGGAGCACCAATAACCTTTTGGATAGCCGGTTTTTATTTCACTCAAGCATTTTTAACCGGCGCAAGACAAAATTACGCTAGAAAATATCATATCCCGATAGATCTTTTGGCGTACGACTTCAAAGTACTCAAAGAAACTAATTTTACAAATGCTCCAGATGACGGAGTCTATATCAATGGATTATTTTTAGACGGTGCAAGATTTGATAAAGATAAAATGATTTTAGATGAAAGTTTGCCAAAAATTCTTTACGATCAAGTTCCTCATGTAAGTTATTTTATTATTATCAATTTGATTAATTATTAGTTATTTTATTATTGTCAGATAATAAATTTCCATCAGATTGATTAATTATAAGTTTTTAATGATAATAATTAAATTGAATCTATAAATAGATATGGTTGCTTCCGAAGAAACGTGAAGATATAGTTAAGCACGAGACGTATACCTGTCCGTTATACAAAACGAGCGAGAGAAAAGGAACTCTGTCAACGACGGGACATTCAACTAATTTTGTAATAGCTATTAATTTACCAACGAACATGCCGGAAGACCATTGGATAATCAGAGGGGTTGCTCTGCTTTGTCAGCTCAGTGAATAATTTTTATTTTAATCACCAGAGCTTATCAACATTTTATATTGAAGTATTTTTGGGAATATTGTAATGTCTGAATATATGAAACGTGAATAAATAATTTTTACAACTAACAAAAATAAAAATAATACTAAAGTTAGCCGACATTGTAATTTTTAGATTTTTTTTCATTAATTGAACTAGGACAAAAAATTTTTTTTAAAAATTGCACTTACAATTTTTTACAAATGAAATTTTTTTTCAATAAAAATAAATTATAAAAATTTTAATATCTCGGCTAATTTAATTTTCATAAATAAAAAAAACTTACCTTTTTGGAGATCATGTCATCAAACATTTAGCAAGCAGCTGATATATCCACAGAAAATTAGAAAATCATTCAAAATATAAATTCACTATAAATTTAATTCTTTTCGCGTACTTATATTTGAAGATAATTTTTATCAATTAACTTTTTTGACTGAATAAGAAATTCATTTAAAAATTCTCCATTATTGACACTCGAATTTTTCACTTATATTAATAAAGTTAGCCGCTATTTTTAATTTTGCTTAATTTATTAAATTAGAACTAAAAAATATTTTTAAAAAATTGCACTTATAGTTTTTTACAAATAAAAAAATTTTTTTGTTAATTTTTTGATAAACAAAATTATAAAAATTTGAAAATGTCGGTTAACTTTATTTTAATTTTTCACTTAACGATTTTAACATAATTATCACTTCAATTATTCAAAATTTATTATTTTCCTACTTAAATACGGTGTATTAAATAACCTGACATATTTATTTTATTTAATTAGCGCGATATTTATCATAAATAATCAAAAAATAGCTCAACAACATTTTTGCGGATCATTCTTCTAAGAGCGCAGCCGCCATTTTGTACTGAGCAAGCGCGCGGGATTTTCAAACTGCTAATTTTATATTTCTACTTTACCACCGCAAACTTAAAAGCGCTAGTGTCTTATTCTTATCGATAACACCGCAATAAATCTTACCGGTATTATTTTATTTAAGTAAAATGTGTGTCTGGTAATAATATGCTCTATGGGATTATTATTATTGTTATTGTGATTACTATCTGCGGCGTGTCACAAAAAACCGACGTGTCAATCGTCAATATTCGATTTTTTCAATCAAAACTTTGTCAAAAACACAATCTAAGGTAAGAAAACTTAAATGTAAAAATAAACATAATAAAATTAATGAAATAATTTTTATTCCAGATGATTACAGACGTGCAATTGGCTGTTTTCTGCAACATACTTGGTGTCTCACTGTTTTTCCTTGTGTTTCTCTACCATTACATCAAAGCTAATTACACTAAATAATTATGGATTTATTAATCAATAAGTTAATTTTAATTAACAAAAATAAGAAGAAATGATTCGACTGTGGCAATCGCCAGATTGTGTTTCAATTAACATTAAACGGTTCATCCAAATGATTGTATTTATAAAATGAGATTCCGAGACATGAAAAGTAATTAATTCATTTTCATTTATTTTAATAAAATAATCAAAGATTATAAATTATTATTTATTTATTTCTCTACTATCTTCTTTAACAATAATTGCTTGTTATTTTCAGCAGTTTTATAAAATTATAAATAAAAAATGTCTCATAAGTTTTTAAGTTTTAATTGTCAAAAACAAAACAGTGAAGAAAACTTTTGATTAATATACTTTATTGAAAAAAAATTATTTTCTAACATGAAATAAATTGTTAATTAAAACCAACTAGCAACCTTGCAGTCACTATGTGACTGCCGTGGCTTTTGAACTATAAATATATAAAATTTTGCTTTATTAAATAATGACATTTGTTAAATTGCACTGTACTTTTTTAATTATTGAACTTTTCAAAGATATGAGCTCATCCCGATGTTACACTCATCAAGAGCTTTAATTTGAGTACCTACATGCATTTTTGATATATTTTTTATATATACATATATATAATATATATTTTAAATATATAAGCTCATCTTGATATCACACTCATTAAGAGCTTTCATTTGAGTACCCACATGCATTTTTGATATATTTTTCATATATACATCTATATAATATATAAAATATATGAAAAATTGATGTGGGTACTCAAATGAAAGGTCTTGATGAGTATAATATCAGGATGAGCTTATATCTTTAAAAATGTCAATAGTTCACAAGATACAAGGTAATTTCTTAATTATTGACATTTTTAAAGATATAAACTCATTCCGATGTTACACTCATCGAGAGCTTTCATTTGAGTACCCACATGCATTTTTTATATATTTTTCATACATACATATATATAATATATAAAATATTGATGTGGGTACTCAAATGCAAGGTCTCGATGAGTGTAACATCGGGATGAGCTTATATCTTTAGAAATGTAAATAGTTCACAAGATACAAGTTCATTTCTTAATTATGTATCTAGAGATAGAGCATATTTTAATGCAGCCTAAATACTTATCATAATAAATTGACTATCGGTGAGAATGATATGAAACCTTGAAACAAATTTAAATCAAGACCTTTGCAATGACACTAAATTTCACTAGAAAAACCGATTTTTTCATATGACTATCCCGGACGCAAAATTTTTCTCACTCTCTTAATTATAGATTAAAAACAATTTTTCATCTGGAAGATATTAATTAAATCACGCAACAACTAAATGACCAACTTTTTACGGTTCAGGATTTATAATTCAAGAATTTCAATTATTTCTTCATTTAATCTTAAAATAGTTCATATAAAACAATTTATTTTACCATAAGTTATTCATATTTATTCACTATGAATATTAATTCAAAAATGATCCATAAAATATGCATATTATTTCTGTATACAAACACTAAATTTTTATTGAATTAAATTTAATATTTGTGAATGAAGTTCAACAGTCGTTACATTACAGAACATAATTAGACACGGTTTGAACATAGTTATTCCCCCTTTCTGCGTAAAAATTATCCATCCGATTATGAGAAATTACAGCAGTCATAATAAACTTCTCAAACTATAACTTGTACAACTAAATCAAGTGATATTAAATATTTAGGATAAAATAACGTTTATATCCAGTGTAATTAAATTATATAGTAAATTATAGCAATCATTTATAATAACGCGCTAATTTTTCTACTTTGTATTTTAAGTGCGTTATTTATCGCTGAATTTTAAAATATTATTAAAAAATTTTATTAAATTACATAATTTATTTAATTTTTTTTTTACACACAGTGATAATTTTTAAATAAAAAATAATTTTTAAGTAAATATTAGTTCATAAAATAGTTTAAAAAAATTACAGACAATATTTACACACTTAAGTATTAAATAAAAATAAATTTAATACTTAAAAAAATTTTTTTTTAATACTTTGAGAATTTTTTGAGCTTTAATATTTAAAAAAAAAAAAATATAAAAGACAAATTTTTGCTTATTAATAAAAAGCTCTTAAAAATAATTAGCCAAAAAAATTAACCAAATAATTTTTATTATTCTAAACAAAGTATAAGGTATATATACCGAACATATGTATAATTTATTTTAGTTCCACTTGATCGGTCATACCGCGTTGAACACTCGTCAATAGCTCATCGTGTTTGTTCTTAAACTTTACCTGTATTTGCATTGTTATTCAACACTTTAAATTTTAAAACGAGTGCAATATTTAAATAAATTTATAAACTGAAAGATTTAAGCACGAAAAATATGATAAAAATATTTTTTTTATAAAATACCAAGAATTTTATTTTGTTATTAAACAATGTAGAAAATAACAAAAAAAAACAAACCAGTTCGTTTTATTTTTATAATCGTGTACTTGGTAGAAAAAGTAAAGTAAGCGGTAATTGTAGTTAGAATTAGATAAAAAAATATAAGTGTTAAACTTATATTACAACTACATACAATATATAAATAAAAATAAAAGGAAAGACTTAATTGCATTTTTAAAAACTGACTTTCAAAATGTTATTGTTAATAGTTTTATTATTATACGCGATAAATAGTTAATTATGAATATTCGTAAAAACGTTTTAAACATAAAAATATGTATTTTATTGTTTGGTTTTTATTTATTGGACGGATTTCTGGAGAAATTTTCAACCCGATTAAAATTGCAGAATGTATTAATAATTGTAACGATGTAAGTAATTTTTAAAATCATTAATTAAATTAAAAAAAATTAATTTTGTAAAAATGAATAATTTATTTTAAATTTCTTTAAAAATTTTTTTTAAGAAAACAAAATATCAATTAAATCTGATTTATATTATTTATACAAAAATTAAATTTAATTATTTTATATGAATAAATTTATAATTATTTATTAACATTTTTATTGTATATATTTATTTTTTTTATCTTTATTATCCGCCTAAAATTATTCATATCGCGAAGAAACCAATTATCAACCTGACGATTAGTTGACACAGTTGGCGCTTCATAAACGCATGTATAAATATGTATATATATATATATATATATATAAATATATGTGAATGTTTGTAAAAAGATTTAAATTCGAGTATGAGGAAAAATAATGATATCAATAGTATAATAAAAATGGAGACGCATATAAAAGTTAAATTTTACTTGCGAAGAGATATTTATTTATATGCAGACTAATTTATAAAAATTCCACTAAACTTGAATTATATAAAACTAGCAACCTTGCAGTCACTATGTGACTGTCGTGACTTGTGAACTATATGTAAATAAATTTTTGCTTTATTAAAAAACGACTTTTGTTAAATTGCACTGTATTTTCTTATATATTGACGTTTTTAAAGATATAAGCCCATTCTGATGTTACACTCATCAAGAACTTTAATTTGAGTACCCTCATGCATTTTCATATATTTTTCATATATACATATATATATATAATGTTTGTATTTTGAAAATATAAGCTCATCCCGTAGTTACACTCATCAAGAGCTTTTATTTGAGTACACACATGCATTTTTGATATATTTTTCATATATACATATATATAATATTTATAAATATATAAAATATATGAAAAAATGATGTGGGTACTCAAATGAAAGGTCTTGACGAGTATAACATCGGGATGAGCTTATATCTTGAAAAATGTCAATATTTCACAAGATACAATGTCATTTATTAATTATTGACATTTTTTAAGATATAAACTCATTTCGATATTACACTCTTCAAGAGCTTTCATTTGAGTACCCACATGCATTTTTATATATTTTTCATATATACACATATATAATATATATAAATATATGAAAAATTGATGTGGGTACTCAAATGAAAGGTCTCGATGACTGTAACATCGGAATGAGCTTATATCTTTAAAAATGTCAAAAGTTTACGAGATATAAGGTCATTTCTTAATTATGTAAAATTTTGTTTATTAATAATACAAATTTTATTTCTTTACACTAATTTATGAAATAATACTTGTCGTATCTATTTTTCGAAACAAATAGCAAGGTTATTTGTTCTTTAATCTAGATGGTAATTAACGCAACAGCAATTATAAAAACAACTTCAGTTACTTTATTTTCATTCTATTCGTAACAATTGTCGGGACAAATAATATATATAATTAGGATGTATATAATGAAAAAAATAACGTAAAGGTTCTTACACTGAATAAACGTCTAGGTTTTTAGACTATTTAAATTTACACAGACGTGAACAATTATTTAAATCAGCTTCAACAGTTAATTTAGATAAAAAAAATTCACCGAATAAATTTTTATTGACAATAGAGGCATCTTTAAATTAGATAAAAATGGTAATTGATTTTTTTTTTTAATTTATAATTTTATTCTTTAAATAAACAGAAGTATTCATGGCTAATTTAATTATTTTAGATTAATTCAAAACACTTTTTTTTTAATTCAACATTCATGAAAGTTATCTTGAAAAATTACCATACACTTTACGTAAATACTGTAAATGTCTGGTGTATTTAGCATCCATTTAAAATTTTTTACCCGTATGAGAATAATTTTCATATCAACTGAATCGAATCGCTAGACAAGGCTTTAATGTATTTTAAAATCATCAATGTCAACTCAGTCCAATCGCATTTTAACTTTTTTTCATCGGGAAATCCATCGGTAGAATTTATTACACTTGTTACATAATATATTAATTATATTAATGAAAAAAACCCACTTTTTTTTTTTTTTTAAAATTAATTATTAAACTAATTTGTATATTTTTTTTTCAGAGTTTGTGTCAAAATAATTGCTATGGAAATTTTTATCCTCAAGGTAAAAAAATGTCCTTGAAATTAAAAACGATTAAATAAAAAAAATTTTGTATTTTTAGGACTTAAAATTATTTTTGCAAGCGCTGATTTTAATGCAACTTTACATTGCAAGGACATAAATCTTCTGAGTATTTCACACAATCCCGGATTATTTTTTATCGAGCAAAGTGCTGCTAATGGAACTTGGAATAATGCACGCGTTGTACGTAATTAATTTTAAATAATTTTTAAAATTAATTAGAATATTTATAACTTATAACAGTATATTTTATAAATTAAAGATCAATGAAAAAATTTCATTATTCGATAATTTACTTCCTGGGTCCAATTATCGGTACCGCGCACGTCGAATCACTGAAGATGGAATTTCCGAACCAGAAATAACTGATTGGTTTACTACAACAGAGTGTAAGATTATCTAACAATTATTTTTAAATTATTTAAATATTATTCATTATAAAAATTAAAAAATAAGTCTTAAATTTTTTCTTTAAATAATGAATATATTATTTCTAATCTTGAAATCAAAAAAATTTTTAATTTTCATTTTCATTAGAAGATTTTTTCATTGAAAAAAAGTGCCACTAATAGGGCTTAAAGGTGCCGCTTATAGATTCTTTTAGCTTATTGATTTTCAAAAGAAAAATATATTTTATGTTTCCATTACTATAAGCGAACACACGAATAGCTTTACTTTAATTAAATAAAAATTATTTTAATTAGTTCAACCAATTCTTCATACATATAAATATTGTTAGAAATTTTTTAAAAATATGTTTTTTTTTTTTTTTTTTTTTTTTTTTTTTTTTTTTAAACAAGAAATACTTAGCAAAAGTATTTTTTTCAGTTTATTTAAATATGACTTATTGCTTTATAAGTTATCGATTTTTTTACTTAACTCCTTTTGAAAGAATCTTCCATTTGTTTAAAAAAACAATTAGTTCAAAATTTATTATCACTTTAAAAAAGAGTTTAAAATCTAATAGAGGTATAATATTTTGGTTTGGATCATTCAAATAATTTATAATTAGATTATTGCTGCATTTAAGTATTGTATTGGTTCCTAAATTTTTTTTTTGTTTTTAGTAAACACTGAACCTGAGCAAGTGAAAGAAATTTCAGTAAATGCTGGGATAGTTGAAAAAAATTCAACGCATTTACAAGCAGATATTACTTTAACTCCTGGAGAAGGTAATTAATTAGTAATACTCTATTTTTATGAAAGTTTAATCGTTAAAAATTGTACGTAAAGCTTCAAATTTCGATGTTAAAATTTAAGATTAAAAAAAAAATTTATAATTAAATTGCATGTAATTTTAAATTTCTACTCCATTTACGTAAGCCAGAAATATAAAAATATGAGAATTTTAACTCCAAACGTAACGGCGCCGTGGCTTAGTTGGTTAAAGCGCCTGTCTAAGCTCATCCCGATGTTATACTCATCGAGACCTTTCATTTGAGTACCCACATTAATTTTTCATATATTTTATATATTATATATATGTAGATATGAAAAATATATCAAAAATGCATGTGGGTACTCAAATGAAAGCTCTTGATGAGTGTAACATCGGGATGAGCTTATATCTTTAAAAATGTCAATAGTTTACAAGATACAAGGTCATTTCTTAATTATTGATATTTTTTAAGATATAAGCTCATCTTGATGTTACACTCATCAAAACCTTTCATTTGAGTACCTACATGAATTTTTCATATATTTCATATATTTTATATATATATATATATGAAAAATATATCAAAAATGCATGTGGGTACTCAAATGAAAGCTTTTGGCGAGTATACCATCAAGATGAGCTTATATCTTAAAAATCGTCAATATTTAAGAAAGTACAGTGCAATTTAACCAAAGTAATTATTTAATAACCCAAAATTATTTATTAAAAAACTCACCTGTTTAATAAGCCGATCCTCATTAGTAGAAAAAAGTCTATTCAAAGTCTCACAAGCCACAGCAATCATATCCCTCCTCGACTGCATCGCAAGCTTCAAAGGACTGATACAATCCGTTTGGCATATAGAGTTAATACAAATTTCACTAGTAGCCAACTGATGTAAAATAAGTATCGCAGCCTTATAAACCGGCGGTTGACTATTGCGAACCGACATTTGCCTACACAGCCTCGGAATGTGCCCCAAAGAAGGAACTTGATCAGCCAGAACTGGCTGAGCTTGCAACAAGCACACCAAAGCCTGGGTACTAAGTTCCAACATATCCGTATCAACAGTATCCCTGGCCATCAGCGCCAAAATGCAGTCCATCAGATCACTCATAAATTCTTTGGGTTTCCTCAAAGCCCACGCTGGACTCGCAATGAACAGCCTTAAATAAACTCCACCAACAACCGGCTCATTAGTCGCAGCATCAAAATTATTCTGCGTCTCCGGTAGCTTTAATACAGCACCAGGATTCCTTTTTTGCAAAGAATAGTACTCGTCCTTAAGCTCACCAACAATTCTCGAAACCCGTGTCTTACTTTCATCATCCCAAACCAGTTCCGGGTTCTCATGCTTAGTCTCAAACATATGCACACATTGCTTAGGCGCGTCCCTTATCGCCTCACCAAACAATTTAGGCAAAAATTTGCTCAAATCCAATTTAACTTTCGGACCAGCCAATTTATCCGATGACATTTTAGCCAACAATTCAGCCGCAGTTTCTCTAATTGACAAATTAGCCGAGTTACAAAATAAATCCAGCACATAAATAACCGCTCCTTTAGCCAGAGCATCTTTAACAATCTTAGTAGTGCTCATTAGTGCGTACAAAGTTTCTAGAGTCAACAATTGGGATTCTTTGAGGGTATGTAACGCCAAAAGCAAATGAACGACCACTTCATTAGCTGCAATGTCATTAACGCACTCATTATTCTTCGTAACATTGTTAATAACCTCCAAAGCTCCTCTTTGAATTGGTTTAAAATTATTACAGCTCAACAAATTAAACAACAGGTTAAAGTGCCCAATGCACTGAATTTCAATCCCGGGATTATTTTTGATCACATTTTTAAGCGCCTCAAGAGCCATAACTACATTCTTTAATTTATCCTGATCCTTTTTCGACAAGTTAACACTATTTAACGAGCAAATATCCTCAGAAGATTTAAGAATAAAATTAAGAAGGTCAATTGTAAAACTTTTGGGATTTTCTATCGGAAAATTCGGCTGCTCATTGTAAACTTTAACAAAAATCTCTCCAATAATCAACTCATTGCTATGCTTGCTGTATTTAAAGCTACTAAAATCAGTTTCAAGATCATTCCCGTTTAATTTTTCTTCTCTTTTACTCTCTAAATACTCATTAAGCTCCGCGCGGGTTCCATTGTCCCAAATTAAATAAGGATTGGAACAATTCGAGTTAAGAGTCTTCAAAATATCCTCAGGCTTGTCTTTAGACAACTGCCTTGAAAGATAAGGCGTCAATAAAGTTTCCAGAGCCGCAACAGTCACCGGATTTACTGGAGTAGCATTTTCTCCAGTCATATACCCGCCGAGCCTCGCGCAAGCTTTAATCGCCAACTTCGCTAAATTATTAGCAACCTCTTGCCGATTTTCATCCTGGTTCCTCTCAACTCCGCCTTCTTCTAGCGTGTAATCATAATTAAACATAAATAGCAACAAGTGCCACAGCGCTCCTGATTGAAGCAGTTGCATTTGTAGAATACTATCAGTAGCTAGCGACGAAACACACTCTGTAGCTACAGAGCAGAGCTTGGTCAAGTGTTTGAAGTACAAAATTCTGCACAAATCTTTAATAAGCTGCGGAAGTTCCACAATTTTGTCCCTACACCCGCGGAACCTGCCCGCGACAGCGAAACATTTTGTAATATGCGTGCAAACTTGCACAGCAATGTCATCAGGCTTGCTGGAATTATTTAAGACACTAACACACCGAGTATAAGCATCCAAAAGTACATCCAAGCCTCCTTCTCGTCTCAGTTCTTCAGCGTTTAAAGCAGAACAGTGGACAGTATGGTAAGCCAATTCACTAGCAGCCGCTAAAAGCGGCGCAGCTTTAGAAAACAACCTTTCATCCTCAGTTTCTAGCTTAATAGTCTTGATCAACTGAGGATACCCCGCATATTTATAAGGCCTGAGCTCATCAGTATACCTATGGAACAAAATGCTCTGAGTTCTAAGAATCAGGACAATATTATCGGGATTAGGTCCGTCTGTAGTCCAGCAACTTCTGCTGCACAAAAATTCATACGCTTGATTAACAGCTTCGAACTTATCCCTCCCTTCAGGATTTTTATCCGGATGAAAACGTTGTGCTAACTTGTAATAAGACTTTCTGACATCTGCTTCACTGTGTTGCCTTCCATTAACAAGCCCCAGGACCCTATACGCTTCCTCTACTGTCATAATCGGGGGTTTCTTCTCCACTTCTTTCTTCCAAGCATCTAGAACATCCTTCAACAAGTGAACCGGGTCGGGGATTGGCCAGTTGGGGAATTTAACCGTATCGCACAAGTGTCTTAGATAAAATATCTGGCAGAACAGTTCTTTCTCCAATTGTGGGAATCTTACCGCTGGAATTGCGATGTACTGATACCTAGCCATGGTATGGCTCCTTAATCTCGGGGAAAAGTCAGCGATATGTGCTGCTACTTTCTCAATCAACGTCCGACGCATTTCAGCGTTCCAGATAGCTTCAGGAGTATCAAAGTCTCCAAGGAATATCTGAGCGAATTTTTCTGCCCCGTGATTTTCTAGATAACTAACCATTGCGTCGGGTAATAACTGTCCTAAAATACTTCTTTGCATTATATCAGACGGCTGGGTGGTATCATCGCCTCTAAAAGCTTGCTTTGTATGAGTTAATTGCAAGAATCTAGCTATGGGCAGGACATTTGACCCAGTGTACATTAAAATAAAATAAAACACGCCGGTAAGGTAAATTTTGGAAACTTCCGGGTTGTCTTTCATAATTTCGCATAATAAAGTAGCGACTCGCTCTACTAAAACAGGGTCAAAGGTCAGGAGCAACTGGACAACATGTGGCAAGCATTGGAGATCAGAAAGAAGTCTTTTGACCCGAGGTAAGGGACGAATTACGGCATTGTCAGAGTCGCGGCTGGGAAAGTACTCGCACATTTGGATCAAGACATTTAAAATTAAGGTTGCAAGCTCGCTTTCATTTACTACCGGGGTACCTTTGGCGACTAGGGTCCACTTTAGTTGAGGAACTTGGGAGATCATCCGCCAGCCGTCGAGGCCCTGGGCCCAGACTTTGGTCTTGTGGGTCAGTTTGTTTGCTAAATAGAGGTCTTTTAGGTCTTTGAGGCTGACTGGACCACATCGACGATCTCCGTCGTTGTAGTACCACTCTTTTTCTAGGACCCGCTCTTGCTCTGGGCCGGCTTCTATTACGTTGGTCTGGGTGGGTACCATCGCTCGGGAGGTGTGTAAGTGCGCGAGGGTTAATAAATCTACGAGAGCCCGAACGCCGTTTTGGTCCATGATGTCTTTTACGTTTTTGCGATGGAGGATTAATTTGTGGATGAACATTACGAGTCTGTCCCGCTCGGTGCGGTCTGTACAGCGCTCTAACATACCTACTATGTACTTGGTGTCGGAAAATGGACCTATGTCTTCGTAGTAGCGACCGTAGACTATGGTCATTGCTTGCAAGCAAAGGCACTTCATTTCTACTTTTGTTGTTAGCAAAAATCGGTGGTATAAATCGTTAAAAAATTCATATGACTTTCTGATTGGACTTTCCGGGCAATCTTTTTCTAATAATAGTCGGAGGTAGTAGTCGCCGATTTTTACTTCGTCGGAGAGACATAGATATTGGACTTCGAACTCTCGGTGGTTCCAGGCGATTAGGGTTCCGCCGGAGAGATCTTTGTCCGCGGTGAAGGCTCGGATCTCGTTTTCTAGAGCCGTGCGCAATTCTTCCCGGGTTTTGTGGTTCCATATTAGGTTTGATAAAGCGTGGTCTTGGTTGAATTTGTAGTAAAATAATTTCCAGTTAGCCTCGGATTTTATCCTCTCTCGGCGCTTTCGGAGGACTATGGGGCGCTCTTTTATTTTTTCGCGGCGCTCGATTCCCACTCGGGCGCCCCAGTGTTGTAAAGCGTTCTCGACGTGTTTTTCTATTACTCGCATGTGGCGTTCCATTGTTTGCCACTGGGCGCCACGCTTGTTTTTTGATGCGTCAATTGCTATTTTTAGGTTGTCACGGTTGTTCAGTCGTTCTTCTTCGAGGAATGAGTCGGGGACTTTTTCTTGGGAGTCTAGGTAAGTCAGTAGACCACTTGGCTGTGTTAAACAAAGTATTGATTCAATTTTAATAATGATAATTAGTGTTTTGATAATATTATTCGCAATATTGTAAATATTTTCAGGTGTTTCGAATTGATATATTTCATATATTTATATATATATTATATATATGTATATATGAAAAATATATCAAAAATGTATGTGGGTACTCAAATGAAAGGTCTCGATGAGCGTAACATCAGGATGAGCTTATATCTTTAAAAATGTAAATAATTAAGAAATGAGCTTGTATCTTGTAAACTAATAACATTTTTAAAGATATAAGCTCATACTGACATTACACTCATTGAGACCCTTTCATTTGAGTACCCACATCAATTTTTCATATATTTATATATATTATATGTGTATATATGAAAAATATATCAAAAATGCATGTGGGTACTCAAATGAAAGCTCTTGATGAGAGTAACATCAGGATGAGCTTATATATTTAAAAAAGTCATTATTTAATTAAAATAAATACTTCATTATTTAAATACCTGATAATATTTTCTATATTGTAAATAACGGTTATCTAAAAAAATAAATAAAATTACCAAGATACGTTTCAATAAGCCCATAGCTGTGGGATGGCCAGTCACCCAAAGACCAACAAGATGACGACACAACTGTCTGTGAGTCAACAATCTACCATCACTACCAACAGTAAACAAACTGTTCAACAGATGCCTTGGTAAAGCACCTTCAGCCAGCGCAAGTTCTTGCATTTTAGCAGCAACTTCCGGGGCACCTTCTTCAATAATAGCCCGCATGATAAGTCCAGCACCTTTAACAATAGCCAGTGATGGGTGTTGAAATAATTTAAATAGTGGTCGTCCACGGGAGGCTACCATCTCTAATAGATTATCAAAGTGTTTGCCGTCAGTTGTTTCACTGTAGGGCACACACAGTGCAAATGTTAATAAATCTAGCATCGCAGACACTACCAGCGCGCCTGTTCCATGACTCTACAACAAAATAAATAAACAAACAGTAAAATATTAAATATTAAATATCAAAAAAAAATATTTAATTAAATAAACTTACAACATGAGTTATCCACATGTCTAGAAGACTTTCCAAAAACTTATTACTACTAAGCAGGCTACTTTTATTGAGTTGCTCCTGCCTTAAATCACAGTCATCATGCATCGCTTGCATCAATGCACAGATACAATCAATAGCAGCTTGGGTGACACCACAGTCTTGCCGTTTAAGCGCTTTTACTACTTTATTACCGATAGCTTCTCGGAAGCCAGGTAATGTTGTGAAAGCCATAAAGCCAACTTTGCTTGCTACCAATCTTCTCAGAGCATGAAATTGTGCTTCAACCTCGGTGTTTGTGTCTAAATCACGGTTTACCAACGAGTTGAGAGCACCGAGTATTATTTTATCCTTATTCTCGGTAAATAATCCCTGTAAGTAGTCATTCATCATCCGATGTACCTCGAGTTGTACAGTGGTTACAGTCCATTCGAGCGGTTTTTTACCCTGAACAAAAATTTTTTAAGCTCATTTTTCTTGGCTGACTTTCTTTTTTTTTTTAAATTACAGTATATTTATTCTGAGTTTACCGCTTTAATGAACTGTAGACCTTTATAATTAATTTTTTTGAAATTTATTCTGTTTTTTTTTTTTTTTTTATGTCAATTAATTTATTTTTAGACTATTATCTTCCTTTCTGATATTTAATTATATTTTTCTGGAATAATAATTTTTTAGAAGATGATTTTTTAACATTTTGATGCAACAACAGTCCAATTATAAATTATTTGAATGATCCAAACCGAAATATTATACCTCTATTAGAAATTAAATTGTTTTTTAAAGTGATAATAAATTTTAAATTGATTCCCGGAAAAATTTTTAAGTTATGAAAAATTCATAGTATTTCAATAAAATTATTATAAAATAAAAATTGTAATAATGATAATAATATTTTTAGTATGTAAACTTTAGTATTAAATTTTGTAAAAATTTGAATCGATTCGGTTGACTAGATTTTGAGAAATCTCAAAAATAAACATTTCAAAAAATGGTTTTTTTGGAATAGCTTCTAAACGACTTTACTAATCGATTCCAAAAACTAATCAGCTTTTGACTTCAATAAACCACGTCGATTGTCACCAGTTTGGTCAAAATTGATTGATTCGTTCGTGAGATATTGTCGAAAAAAATTGAAAAAATGTTTTTCTTTTTTTAGAATTTTTTTGAAATTTTTAATCTGACCAGTTTGCGCTCTAAGTTTGTTCAAAGATCTCAAAAAATCAGTTGATTCATTCAAAAGAACTTAATACTTTTGATCTGAGTAGAAAAATTCTTTATTTAAGCAAATTTTTCTTCATTTAAGAAAATTTTATTTGATTAAAGAATTTTTGATCTTGATTCAAAACAATTACCTTCTCCAAAATTATATTTTTGGTTCAAGAATTTTTCTCTTGGATCAAATTAATTTTTTTTTCAATGTATGGTTCGAAAATTCAAAAAATAGTGTTCTATCAGACTTTTGAGCTCGAAGAGCTCAAAAATAAAATATGTGAAATTTTAAGCGCTTAGGTAAGAAATTAACGGGAAATTACTCGAATGGCCTTTAGGGTCAACCGTTTTCCTAATTTTTTTTTTTTATAAAAAAAAATGATCATTCTGGGTGGGCTTGTTTTTCAGGAAAATTATTATTATTTTAATGAAATAATATGAATTTTTTTCAACTTAAAAATTTTTTCCGATTACCGCTCTTTTGATCTTAAAAATAAAATATTACACAATCAAGCAAGACATAAAATAGATAAATTAGATCAACATAAAACAGAACAAAGTCCAATAAATAACTAATAAAAATAAAAAAAAAAAAGTCTTACGTCTTGTGTAACAGAATAATGAAGACCACTGTAAGGTACATTAGCATTGAACCGTTCAAGTATTTCAGCAAAAAAGCGTCCACCCGGCGGTTGTTGTAAAAATTTAACATGTGTTATTTCAACTTCCTCATCAACTGGTAAATTCAGTGGACCAAGACGCTTGCCGCGGGCGATCAGATTCATTTTAACATGGACATCTCTGTTTCCGGATGCGCGAACACCGTCTAACAAAGACGCCAACAATGAATCTCTATCGGTAGCCATGTAACTGCGTAGCTGTCCATTGAGATATTGAATGGTAAATAATTGTGGATTTGCGTTATCTCGTACGAGAACAAAAATATCAGAAAGTGGCCTAAGTGTACATATATTATAAGTCTGTGGATCTCTCTCCAACAAACATGTATCCGATAGACACAGTGTTCTGCGCTGTGGATCTGAATGACGTGATGATATTTTATGTACTGTAAATTCAGACACACTTGTTATGTGCTCGTCGCCGCTGTATCTACCCATACGTTGCATTATAAATTCGTCCATTGGTATTTTTTCTTTTAATACAGTTATGGTTAATCCTAAATTAGTGTGAGCTAAGTCAACTATTTTACGTTTTATCTCCTCAATATGCTGCGATGAAAATAAATGCAGTCGTCCGAATCCGCTGCTTACTATCACGAATCCATCTTGGTAGTCTTTCATCGTACCTAGACCGTCTATGTCTTTGTAATAGTAACTCGCCAGTAACATATTTGTCGCTGGGTCTAATTGGTCTAGGCTGTAGGGTGTTACTTCTAAGACCACTGGTAAACGTGTGTCCGACCAATGATGCTTGTATGCTTGATATCTCTGTAATTTTATATTGTTAATTATTTAAAAGTTTTTATTAAGCTTTTTAGGTCAATTTTAATGACACTGAAGTTGACACTAAAATTTTGATTTATTTAGTAATGACTTTGGTTAAATTGCACTGTACTTTCTTAAATATTGACCTTTTTAAAGATATAAGCTCATCTCGATGCTACACTCGTCAAGAGCTTTCATTTGAGTACCCACATTCATTTTTGATATATTTTTCATGTATACATATATATAAATATATAATATATATAAATATATGAAAAAATTGATGTGGGTACTCAGATGAAAGGTCTTGATGAGTGTAATGTCAAGATGAGCTTGTATCCTTAAAAATGTCAATAGTTCACAAGATACAATGCCATTTCTTAATTATTGACATTTTTCAAGATATAAGCACATCCCGATGTTACACTCATCAAGACTTTTCATTTGAGTACCCACATGCATTTTTGATATATTTTTCATATATACATATATATAAATATATGAAAATGAGTGTAACATCGGGATGAGCTTATATCCTTAAAAATGTTAATAGTTCACTATTATAATCGATAATAACATTAATTACAAATAATATACTCCAATCATTCATGTAAAATACTTAAATAAAAAATTTCATCATTTTTTTGCGGATCAGCTGTCACTTCACTCCTTTTTTTATGATTTATCAATAATAATTCGTTTTAGAGCAATTTTTTAAAACTGCTTTCTTTATATTTGTGTATTAAAATCATAAAAATAAGCAGAAATAAAATTGTATCGTATTCTTATCACAATTGAGCCATGTGTTTGATAATTAAATAACAATTATAATAGAAAACATAAAATAAGCAGTTAAAAAATATCCAACATTTTTAAAATAAAAAATTGGAAACATAAATTAAAAAAAAAATTTTATAAATAAATAAATCAGACATTTGTTAATCTTTAAAATTAATAAAAAATTAGCATGGAATTTTCTTGAAATTCTGTTTTTATATTTGAAATTAAAAAAAATAAAAACTTACAAGTATCTCTTTAGGTTTTTCAGCAAACTGATTTCGATATTTAAGTGCCTCAGTTAATAAATGAGCTCTGTGTTCCGAGCTAAATTTCATAGTATCAACTTTACGTTCTTTACGCATTGTAATACTAAATTCATGTAAACCAAGTTGACTTTTATTAGTAGGCTGTACATTTATAAAATCAGCATACTCCCATTTGTTAGTAACTTCTAAATTACTCGGATTGTACGTGGTAATACCCATGGATCCAATCGAGAAAATACGTTTGTACCTAGATTTAAAAAAAAAAAGAAGAAAAAAAAAACATTAGTCATAAAAGTAGGTGGTAATAAAAACAATGAGAAGTAAACTCACTTTCCCTTCCATGAGTGTTTGGTGACAAGGAAACATGCCACATCTTGATTATCCTTTATCGGCATCATTGTCTCATATCTTTAATGCTTTTAATATTGACAATTCTTCTCGATATTTTAACAACTAAGACAGTGAGTACACTTTGCATCTGTCAAGTTGCGAACCGACACGGTGATTAATATTATAACTTATAACTTATAATTTACACGAACATTCATTAACAATCTAATTCTCTTTATTTGTTATTAAATAATTATACTTTGCCAATTGACTGTTTTTATACTTAATGGATAAATAATTAGTTATTTTAATTTTACGTGTACTTTTGGTAAATTTTAGACAATTGATTTATTGTTAATGATAATTCACCGTGTAAATATCATTATGAATAAGCTCTTCAATTTTGTGGGAGCGGCCATGATGCTGATGGGTGTCGCAGATCCTAGTTGTCATCGGTCAGCTGTTTCGAGATGTCGTTACTTTTGTATTCTTATTAAAGTTTCTTTACCGATAAAAAATTATTTATTTTTAACCGCGAAATTTATATTCATGTAATTATGATCTATAATAAGTGAATAAGCAAAATTTTATGGTCCACGTATTTATAAGATAAGTATTTAGGCTGCATTCGAAAATACTCTATCTCTAGATACATAATTAACAAATTACCTTGTATCTCGAGAACTATTGACATTTTTAAAGATATAAGCTCATCCTGATGTTGTACTCATCAAGACCTTTCATTTGAGTACCCACATCAATTTTTCATATATTTATATATATATATATATATATGAAAAATATATCAAAAATTCATGTGGGTACTCAAATGAAAGCTCTTGACGAGTGTAACATCGGGATGAGCTTATATCTTTAAAAAGGTCAACAGTTATATCAAGAAAGTGCAGTGCAATTTAACATAATTAAGAAATTACCTTGTATCTTGAGAACTATTGACATTTTTAAAGATATAAGCTCACACCGATGTTAAACTCATCAAGACCTTTCATTTGAGTACCCACATCAATTTTTTATATATTTATATATATTATATATATGTATATATGAAAAATCTATCAAAAATCCATGTGGGTACTCAAATGAAAGCTCTTGATGAGTGTAACATCGAGATGAGCTTATATCTTAAAAAACGTCAATAATTAAAAAAAGTACAGTATAATTTAACAAAAGTAATTATTTAATAAAAAATTTTATTTATTTATAGTTTACAAGTCACGATAGTCACATAGTGACTGCAAGCTTGCTAGTTAAAATTAATTATATAAAAAAATTACTTTTATTTCAATAAAAATTCATTAAAAAATAAATTAGTACAAAAAAAAATATTTTAAAAAATCGTTTTTATAATTTTTTAAAATTTTTATCGAAAAAAAAAAAAAATTTTTAGCGGGAAAATAAAATTTCAAAGTTTCCGTAAAAACTCGTGAGCATTCGTTATTCTCCGGAGGAATGTCGAATGTATGTTTTGTGAGCTCCCACCAGCCGTAGGTAGAATGAAGAAAACCGCGATTAGTGTACCCGACATCGTTTTATTTCGTGTTCCGCCGTGGAATCGTCGGGGCAAGTCGTAGCTGAAGTCTGTCTCTGTCAGTCGGTCGCTAGTTTCGTCCGGGTATTGGATCTCTGTTCCTCAATGTAGCAAAATGGCTGCCAAACTACAATAATGAGTGTGACGTTGTTAACGTTTACCAATGTGTTATATTGTTTGTGTCGTTCTTCCTCACCCATATTTTGTGATTAATATATTACTGTGATAATAAGTAATAGTGACAGTGTTTCCCGTGTCAAGACTTTATTGTACTATTTCAAATAATCAGTCAATACTTTTCACCACGAGTAAGTCAAGGTGTTGTTTTTTTTTTTTTACATTTTTGTCCATCATTTTTTAGTTTTATTTTACTTTTTACGTGGCGCTCGCCTATCCGCAAATTCCTCAGCACAACATTTATCATTTTTAAATTAATAACCGAGATTTGACTAATTATTTGTCGCATTTTAGGTGGTGGGATCTGAAAAAAATTTTAAACTACCATTCAACATAATATAAGTAACTAATGTACGCACCAAACTTATTTATATTTACTTTAGGTGTAATGTAAATAACGTTTACCTTTTCTAATTCTTATCCTAGTCATCTAATCTCCATGTCTTCCGGGAAGTCGCGTGACTTCCTTAAAACTTTTTTTTTAAAAACAAATACTGCAATTTACAGTTTATTAATTTAAGTTATTTTTATCATCGTTGCCGAGTTGCTTTATTAATTCACCGCATATCAAATAGAAATTACAATTATTATTATCAATTGTAATTGCATCTAAAGAGTATTTACTTTGCATCGATTTTATTATATTTGTTTTAAATTTTATCAATTGGAGTATTTTTAATTAAACATTTAATAGTTTAACAAATAAATTATGGCAAAAAAAAAAATTAGAAAAAAAATTAACTTGTAGAAATTTAAAAAAATTAAAAATGCAATTTCTTAAAAATAAATTTTCGGAAAAAATTTGCTTGATGAAAATGACATTAAAGTTAGCGGTCACTTGACTATTTTTTAGTTGTTTTTTTAACAAATTTTATCCAGAAAATAATTTTAAAAAAAATTGTATTTTTAATTTTTTAAAATTTCTACATGTTAATTTTTTTTATAATTTATTTGTTAAAGAAATTATTAATATTATTAAATTAATTTTCATTAATTAAATTGTTATAAAAAAAATTACACATGTGAAAATTAATAAAAATTACTAGTGAAAATTTTTAGAAGCATTTTTTTATAAAAATTTTTAAAATTGACAGCTAACTTTAGTATCATCAAAAAATTGCTTAATTAATTTTGGAAAAGATTAAATTAAAATTTTATTCATTAAATATTGTTAAGATTGGTAAATGATTTATAGAAAATAAAAATGGAGTAAAAAAAAAAAATTTCAGAATTAAAATAAAAAACATGACTTGTAATAAAGATATTATCTGTCAAAAAATAACTATTTGCAAGGTAAAATGCTAGATTGCGAGTCTCTCGTGAGTATTTTATCAACAGAGTGGTATTTTAAGACAGATAATTTATTATGATAAAAAAAGCAACAGACTAGTAGTTTTAAATTAAAAAAAAATGTAAAGCTTTGAATTGAAAGTGAACATTTATATTTACTTACTTAAATTATTTGAGCCTTAAAAAAAATCCTTGACAATTTAAAATTATATTAATAGTTTGGTAAAATCTTGGCGAACAGAAAATAATCCTTGAGATGCAATTAAACAGATGGATTATAATTACCGCGTTACGCTAAAAAAAAAAAGTGATTAAATAAAACCCACACACGAAACTAGATCTCGTGTTTTATTATTCTTATTATTTAAATTATAATCTAATTTTAAATAAAACTAGTTCTGTGTTGTATAATTAAAATAGCTTTGTTACAAGTTTTGTTTAGACTGTCTTCATATATGATGTGTCATACTACGATCCATTGCTGTAAGAATAATTAGTAAATAATAGCACAGCATTGTATCAATTTATTGACTATTATCTATAATTTATATTTTATAAAATAGCTTTCATCATCAGATTATTAAATAATCTCTTTCAATTTAAATTATTAATTTGATTGATCATTTTTTAAAATTAAATAATTGCTCTTCATTAATTTTAAATTATTGCGTCGTTTAATCTCAAATTATTCAATTTTTTCATTATAAAATTACGGATCAATATTCAAGGAATGATTAATCTTAAATTGAAAATTATGGAATGAAAAATAAATTACCAAATTAAAAAAAATTAATTAATTAAAAATAGAAGATTGAAAAAAAATTTTTAATGTAAATTCTTCTCTATTATATCTCTTAAAAAAAAATTAATGTAGTTTTTTTACTAGTCACAAGTCATAAGTTAGATTTTTAGTGAATCACACATTCGAACTTATGAGTGGCATTCCTTCTTACAATGTTATTATTCATATGTAAAATAAATATAGAATTCTTGATGAAAATTTTTTCATTGAAGAACGTTTCGTTGAGCATGATCAAACCTCTTGAAACTAAATTATTAATTTTTTTTATAAAAATATTTAATTTTATTATTAAAATATTGAATGAATAAAAATTTAATAATATTATATATTTCATGTGAGTAACCAACAATAACATTTCCGTATAAAATTGTACACATTGTATTGTAATAACACAGATTGAAATCGAATAATCGATATTTAGAATTTTCACAGGTGGGTTGACGGAACAACAATGTAATAATTTGCAGAAATGAAATAATAGACATTTAAAAGAAAGTTATTTTGATATTAAATGTTAGAAAAATTATTTAAAAAATTTTAAAAAAAATTTCACATGTAAAAAAACTTAAAAAACTATAAGTGCAATTTTTTAGAAATATCTTTTTAGTTGTAATTTAATTAATAAAAAAAATCAAAAATTTTTAGACGTCTGCTAACTATAATAATAAAGTTAGTCGACATCTTTAATTTTTTGATTTTGCTTAATTTAATAAATTAGAACTAAAAATTATTTTTTACAAATTGCACTTATAGTTTTTCAATTTTTCTACAAATGAAATTTTTTTTTTGTAATTATTTTTTTATTCAAACAGTTGATATTTATTAAAGTTGTCTTGTAATAATTTATAAGTTAATGTTGCAGCTAAACTAAACATTTAGAATCTAGAATAGAATGCATTAAAGACATTTGTCGGGAAACGAGTGTATCCGTCGTGTTCATCACGAATTAACGTGGGGGGATTAAACACAGTCGGATAAATAATGTGAGAACAAGACATATATATTATCAGGTCGTGTACTGAAGAATAATCTCAAACTTGTCTTCCTTGGCACGGACAATATTAATTTTTTGTTCCATCTGCGGCAATTAAAATTTAAACATTTCTTACGAGTCAATTACGCTCACCCGTCAATACACGTCAGAATAATAAAAGAAATTAAATGGGCAAAATGTATAACTTTATTACAGTTAACATTTTTTTTTAATTGCTACCATATAATGTTATGGTTATATTTGTTTTACTTTATAT